GGGGGGAGAGGCTAGGCTGGGGTTCTTAGGGAGGGGGCGGGGATAATGGCCTCAGGGTTCTGGAAGTCCCTGGAAATATGTGCAGAATTTTGCATTTGTGAATTTTCCTTGGAAAGGGTTACCCGGTCCCCCCGCCCCCCCCGCAAAAAAAACGGTTAAGAACTACTTGGATAGGCAAGGATCATTCAGTTGCGGGAATGTACTAAAGGATTTTAAAGTGGGTGGTTCCTGCGGGAAGGATAGAGATGATCTTTTAAAGGTATTTCACTGTTAGCCGAAAAACCTTTATTTTTAATGTTTGATTTCACAATTTTGGCGCAGTTTTGCTAAGGAAAATATATTCTCATCTGATGCATCCTTACGTTTTAAGAAAGCGTTCGTGAACAGTTGAAATGAAAATTGTGATGGGCAAGCAGGATAATAGTAACCTTGTGGGAGACGGGATTGCAACATTTCTCCGAGAGGGTGTTTCTTCCCCGTCCTTGCTCTTAAGATGATTCAATAATACTGTTAATTGAGCTGCAGTGGAAAAAAAAATCTTATTAATAAAACCATCAAAACCAAGACATTCAGCATCTCGATTGTATTGTAATAGGACAAGTTTGTCATTTTTCAGTTGTCTACATTGTACTGCAAACCAGAGATATCACATATCACTTGAATTGTAGATTTGCTGCATTTTGCAGCAGGCCTGTATTACATTCGTGAAGCACTTACGCCAAACTATGGGACGTGTATTCTTTTTTCCTTTCCCTTCTATGGTTTCAACTCAAGTCTCCATTGCCATGTTTCATTACATGGCTGTGTTTGAAATTTATTTGTAAGTGATCATTAGTTGGTAGGATATCATGCATATTTCCTCACAAATCACTATTTTTTTTCCCTTAAAAACTCTTGTATTTGTAAACATGTTGCTGTATAATCCAAGTATGTATTGTTAACTTGAGATAGAATGCCATGGAATTTTTAAGTTTCAACTTTTAATTTGGAAATGATGTTCAGCTTACAGAAAAGTAGCGAGCGTAAGAATAATAGCAAGAATTATTCACCTTTACTCAGACTCACTCGTTACCATTTTACCCATTTATCACTTGACTTCTCTCTATGACACATATGTTATTTTTTTCCTGGACCATGAGTGTAGGTGTCATACGTTATGGCTCTTTATTCCTAATACTTTAGCATGGAAAACCATATAACTTGTACATTTCAGCTTACTTAGCTCGTCTGGAATGAAATTCTAGGAAAGAGGGGCTTAGCCTGGTTTTCAGCAAAGAATATCAAACATAACTAAGATGGTCACCCAACTTTTTTGTGTATAAAACGGTACAGAAAGTGAGGCCGGGCACTTTTCCTGTTTTAGGATCAGGTTCTGGAAGAAATAACTGGCCTCTATGTTCGTTTTTCTTTCTTTGTAGCTAATCTCTTTACTCCTATTACTCTGTCTCCTTTTGTGCTGGGTATCTGATCATTTATATGTACAGGTCATAATAAAGAGAGAGAAAAATCTAGATAATGCAAAATTGAATTGTGTTAAGATTAGACCAAATAGTTAGAAACATCCACAGCATGATCAAATTATACGTAGATATATTTGTGTGTCTTCTAGATACTGAAGAAACTATTAGATGAGTATCTAGGATCCAGAATAATTATAATTTATATGTATATATGTATAATTGTTTGATTTTGAATAAATCCCCGAAGTTCTATATAGGAGCCTTGCCATTTTGTTGTCCTGGAGGTCAAGCCCTTTTTGACAAACATTTTAAGAAGTCTTTATA